TTAAAATAATCTACAATGATTTATATTCTATCCTCAGCCATTTACACAAAACTAAGATGAGGTACGAAAATTAAGCAATATTTTGAGTTTCCCTGAGAATGCCAAATAACTGATCTGAGTTATTTCTAACTAAATTGACTATTAAGCCAAGTTTATCACAGATTTTTGGCTATATAAACACAAAAAGCTTATCAATAAATGAGGCAACAAATAAGTTCTTTTATATATTAGAAATTATGACATTATATTTTAAAAATCTGAAAAAAAGCATTACCTTGACTCAAAAACTATATAGACTTCCTGTAAACTTTTGAGAAAAGTTATAATTTGATCAAAAAGATACTTAGAAACATAGGGTAATAAAACAAGTTTTTAAATGTTCACCTTCAATTTATTTCATAGGTCACTGTTATATCATCTAATAAGATAATTAAAAACATGCAAGCAGCTGGTACTACAGCTAAACAGATTAATGTAATAGTCTGTAGTCATATGTGCTGGCAAGGGGCTTGCCTCTTTTGGTGAGGAGAAGGTCAGCTGCCCTTGGGAAGAGGAGGAGAGGCATGGCCCTGTGCTACAGTCACTAAGTTAAACATCAGAAAACTGATAATCAGGTAACTACTTTTTCTTCTTTCATATCCATTAAGGTTCTTCTCTCAGTTTTAATGGTTAAATAAGTAACAGTGAAAGTTCAAATAATCTGGCAGACAACATTGGTCTTTAAAAAGCACAAGATATATTTCACAAAACCAGTAATATCTTCTCAAGCCTCACAAACTTTCCATTTTAATGCATCATCTGCAAATCAGTTCAGAGATATGCAATCTAATTTTAACCAAAATTTCCAAAACAGTATCTGGACTATTACTCAACCATCATATAATAATTACACTGGGGCCACAGGAGTTAAATGCAGCTGTACTCTATCTGAATCCATGAAGCAAGATCAAAAGAAGATATAAATCCAAAAGTAAATCTCCCAGTTATATAAAAGAAAAAAGACTATGAATATTAGACACACAAAGCTACAGTTAGGGTCCATTCATTTTAAATTTTAAAACTATGTGTCAAAGCTCCAGATATCATCTCTGAATTTATAGTAAAACATCTTCCTTTCATCCTTACTAGGTGTTCAAATTTGTTATACAAAGGTAACCTAAAATATGTATTAGAGATTGAGAGCTTCAAAACTCAAGTTAAGCTTGTTCTTAGGCACTCTTTCTGCTAACAGACAAACATTTATTTTCTTATAGAACATATTTTTTTTTTTTTTTTTTATTTTTGAGACGGAGTTTCGCTCTTGTTACCCATGCTGGAGTGCAATGGCGCGATCTCGGCTCACCGCAATCTCCGCCTCCTGGGTTCAGGCAATTCTCCTGTCTCAGCCTCCTGAGTAGCTGGGATTACAGGCACGCACCACCGTGCCCAGCTAATTTTTTTTTGTAATTTTAGTAGAGACGGGGTTTCACCATGTTGACCAGGATGGTCTCGATCTGTTGACCTCGTGATCCACCCACCTCAGCCTCCCAAAGTGCTGGGATTACAGGCTTGAGCCACCGCGCCCGGCCTAGAACATATTTTTTATCTTCCTTCTGGTATATTAGATCACTGTAACAATTTCTATAATACCAAAAGGTTAATGATGATGACAATGATGATGATGACATTGTCTGGAACATAAAAGCAACTAAAATTTATTCAGCATTTACCATATGCCATTATTCTATTAAACGCCTCATATCAACTGTTATTTTATCATCTCTACTTCAAAGGTGAAGGTGAAGAAACTGAGGGTAAGACTTGTCCAAAGTATTCAAAGTATTTGGAATCAGGATCTGAACCAACATACTATGTTTAAATATTATTTTAAATAACAGACCTGGTGTGGTGGCTCACATCTGTAATCCCAGCACTTTGGGAGACTGAGGTGGGTGAATCACCTGAAGTCAGGAGTTTGAGACCAGCCTGGGCAACATGGTGAAACCCATCTCTACAAAAAACACAAAAATTAGCCAGGTGTGGTGGCACACTCCTGTAGTTCCAGCTACTCAGGAGGCTGAGAGGCAGAAGGACTATTTGAGGCCAGGTGGTTGAGGCTGCAGTGAGTTGACATAGTGCCACTGCACTCCAGTCTGGGTAAGTGAGACCCTCTCTAAAAACACAAACAAACAAACAAAACCCCCAGAGACTATACCTTCTTGAAACTGACAATCTACTAGATAATAATACAAATAATAGAAAGGATACAAATTTGATTGTCCAATTCAAGACCAAATTCAAAAGCTAATAAAATCTCAACATATGTTGTTAGAAAAGGGTATATGTGTTGGATAGTGAACACAAGCACCCATTTATATGAGATGAGCACAAAATAATTAATACTATGACTTTGCATTTAGATTTTCAAAAGGCCTTTATTTTATACATTATTACCCAAGTCTTTAAAACAGTTATGGGACGGAAACAGGTTAGGCATTATAATGCCCATTTGATAGATAAGAAACTAAAGTAAATCTTAAACCTAGACACAAGCATATATAAAGTATGAGTACTAGGTTTAAGGCCTGCATTGTCTAATTGTGAAGAAAGGCTAGGATTTCAGAGGCAGTTTAAATAATACGAATGAATGTAGAATTGTTAGGCAAAAGGACATCTGAGGGTTGCAACATTTATGTTTTTCTAATAACCTATTTCTAATTAGTTTAAAGAGCTATAATGGCAATGAAGAATAATATTCATTTTCAAAAGTAAATTTTATTGAAAATTCTACTGCCTTTTAATGTGATTCTGTAACAATTCCTAGATTTTGTCAGTTAACCTTAATATGAAGCTATACCAGAGCTGTGCTTCTATGAATTCTACACTTAACCCAAGTGTCAAATTCACAAGTAAGCTCATTATATTATAAGAGCTATTGCATAATGAATAGAAAAATATTCATTTTACACCTTAGATACTATAATAGTATTTAACAACAGCACCGGCCTGTCAACTGTTAAAAGCCCATTTTTTACTTACTGTATTACCTGAGTTTTTATCTTGCCTTTTTAATTGCAACAATAAATTAATATTCTAACATTACAACACTGATTTTTAACCAATGCCTGTCATTTTTAATCGATGATAGAAATTGATTAAAAATAGTTAAACAACATTAGTATTTATTGTGCAAAACTACAATAGGAGTTCATTTTCAAATTACAATTATCATTTAATAAAACTAAGATACTTTATTCAAGAACAAAAAACTCACAGGATAGTACTATACCTTCACATAAAAACATTTCTCTTTAAATGCCTGATGTAGGTGACGGTAAAGTGCGTGGGATGTGACATGTATGTACTTACACAACAATCCTGTAGGATGCAGGACGTGCGCATGTACCCCAGAGTCCAAAGTACAATTAAAAAAATCTCTCTTTATAATATATCCACTATTTACTATAATTAGCTAAACTACAAATGTAATCATAAAATATAATTCACTGACAAAATTTATACACATATAAAAGGATTTTCCTTCCTTTGAAATACAATATTTTTTCTTTTTGTCTCATTTAATTGTATTTATATCTAATAAATCACCATCATAGATTTCATATAATATTAAGATTCCTGTTATGTGTCATATTTTAATATTTATGTAACTATCTTTCATATTTGCTTTTTTTGGTTATTGTTATGATCAGTTGTGACACACTCAAATAGGGGATTCTACCTATTGTTTAATATGTCAACTACAAGCTTTATATTATACTGAAGGACTAAAAAAGCATGGACAATTCCAAGTTTATAAGGTAGGATGGATACAGTGAAAATTTAACAATAATATATGACCTTACTGCTGTGATAATACCCTTCTAGAACACCATGGGAACAAAATCCTTTTGTAGTATCCGTGACACCTTATTTCTGAAATTCATAAACAAATTGTAAAAAGTGTTTCATTTACTACATTTCTATTAAGTGCCTCTGGTATAAAAGGCCCTACTCTAAATGTTAAAAGCCCACCTGAAATCTGAAGAAATAAATGACACAGTTCCAATTAAGTATATATAATATGTATCCAAATAAAAATATAAACTAAGCATAAATTCCCTATTTATTACAGAAAAGGAGATACAGTTTAACATTCAAATTAGTTTTCAAGTACATGGTGGTTCTTGCATGTATTTTATAGTGTTGTTACACAAGTAGCAGAAGTAATTAACAATAAGAACAATGTAGGCCAATTGTTTCTTCAAGAATCCACATTGCCATCTATAATGTTAAAATGTATCATTATTGAATTTGCACTTTTCTTCCTAAAATAACCAACTTCTTAGACCATTTTCATTCAGTAAACAAATATTCAAGTATTACTGAAAATACTTTAATCTTTCTTCTTCCTGAGTTTTCCAGATATAAGGTACAAATTTCATAAACATTTACTAAGCAAAATTCAAGTTATGAGGAGAATATTTAAAAAGGACTAGGTAAAATTCATATTTTCTTAATTAGTACATCCTTTTTAAAAAATTACTAATTGAGAAGTAATAGCTCTATTTGCTGAAGAACTTAAACAGGATATTAGCAAACAGCACTTAATTCAACCATGAACTACATTTTAAGCTCTCTTAGGCACTCATGAGCGGTACTATACTTTAGCAGGAAAATTAAAAGAAACCTTTAGTACTGTAACAGATACACTGGAAAAACAAAGACAAAAATGGATTATAATGAAGCTAAATACTACATGTCATGTGCATTCATTCTAATTACCCTACTATTGGGTAACAACAGATACTGCAGTAAGTGCATTTACTCAAGAATTTTGAATATTGTATTTTTCTGTAATTTATAATTCTGCAGAAAATAACATAACACAGTATTCTTTACATTGGTCACTTTTTTAAAAACACAAGTAGTGATTCCTTACTATTCTAAGATCAAAACCCTATATAATTATGTATCTTATACATTACCTTGTAATATTATGTATATATGTATTCATCACCTACCTATAAGAATTAAAAGTCCCTTCAGAGTCTAAAGAAGAACTTGCTCTTCTTCCATTTTTATTTGAATCTCCTGCAGAAAAAAATTACAACACTGAAATAATGGAGTTAAACTGAATATTTCAGTTGAAAAGCTGTAAAAGCTCTATGCAATGTATTAGTCAAAAAGCACATATCCCCTCCCCCTTCCCCAAATTATCTTTTGTACTCAAAGCTTTTTAGGGAAAAAATTCATTTTGATGCCAAAATATAAACCACTGCCAATCCTAGACTAGATGGTAACAGTACCAAAGTAATTGCTATCAGGAACAAATGAAGCATAATACAAACATTTTCTTCTTATGAATCACAGACAAAATAAACCAGTGTTTAAAAAGAAAGGCAATTTTTTGTTGTTGACCAAGTCACCCATCCTGATCAGTAGTACTGTGAAAAGAGAGCAGGTAGAGACCTGACCCGGATGATTTTCCAGGTCCTAGTTTGACACTCTCTAGGAATTTAGTAAGCAGAGATAGAAATAAAAAGCCAACTTGAGAAGTAGTGATTAATTAATGAGCTTTTAATATGCCTTCCTTAATATTCTTTAAAAAACTTTATTAGCCTTAGGTTTTAACTATCAAAAGTTCTGCAATTTAAAACATGAAAAAGGAACAGTATCAAAAGGTATCTGTCTCCTATAATATCAAACATTCAGAGAAAATTTACTCAAGAAACTGTCATATTCATAAAATCAAATTTAGAACAAATTTTACATACCAATTTAAAGATTATAGAATAATAGTAAATGTACTAAAGTTGGAAAAAAATGCTTACCAATGCCCCAATGTTATATATTCTTATTAACAGAAATTTAATGCTTCATTTTTAAAAAATACACTTCAAAGTATAGTTTCTATGAAATCATAGTATACCACTATTAAAAATGTAATTTGTTCTTCAAAACAAAGTTTAGCATGTGATTACATTTTATACTCCTAATTCCTATAATGTAACTTTGAAACATCAGATTATATTCATTTTTATAATATTTATAGCTTAATAACAATGATTTATCCAATTTTAATTTATACTTTTAATACACTTTCAACAATCAAAGGTACAACAGGAAATCATCACAGTGGTCGTGGATAAATCGAACAGTAATTACAGAGCTTTCACTTTAAAGATGAAATTATTTTTAATGATTGAGTATATAGTACCTAAGGTACTGTGCTTATATAATTATGCTACTCATTAAATGGGTACTGAATGCTGAAACGTAATTTTAATGATAGCTACCTTTCGTTCTTTACATATTTTATAGTTGACAGATACAAGAACAGTGGTTCTTTCTGAGACTTTGGTGAGATATGTGCAGCTATGTCAGTGTTCAGGAGGAGGAGAACTGGACTGAGCACACTTATTAAACTTTCAACTCTACTCTTTTTTCAAAATAGTATTCCAGCTTTTTTTGTTTTTTGAAAAAACAAAAAAATCCTAAAATGGATTACAACACTTAAAAATGGTGACAATTTATACAAGAAAATAATCCGAAAACATAAATGTTTAAAAATAACCTAGCTAGGTATATGTTTGTTGCTAATTCTTTGAAAACATGGGTATGGTAATATTACTCATACAACACCCTTCATTTTCTTTTAAAAATTAATAATATTATAATATACTGAAAAGATGTAAAAAAAAAATTTGTCTTGCTAAATGAAAATTTCCTACAACACATGTTATTTAACAGCTTGCAGACATTTCCTGTGAAACATTCCATAATCAGCATAGAATAAGCACTATATTATACATTTAAAATGAGCTTTTCTCCTTAAAACTAAAGATTATGATTAAACATGCAAAATCTCACCAACAGAATACTTCTTCCTTTAGGCTGATATTTATCAGATCAAATATTAAATTCTTCAAATAATTAAGAGACTTTTGGTTTTATAAACAACCAGGTTTTATCATATTATAAAGATTTTCTTTAATTTATAATTGTTTCCAAATGAAAATATCACATTAAATGTAACTTTCAAGTAGCAAAAAATAGTAATAGGGAAAAAAAGCAGGTTTTCTTTCTCAAAAACATATCAAATAAGGAGTACAATTGTTTCACTAACAATATTAGAGAAAACATTTCAGAGTTGGCTATATGGGGAAAAGGCAATAAAGTTTTGAAGCGGGAAAAACGCTTTGTTCCCTCAATCCTCTAGTTGAAATTAATTATAGGAAATGTTTATGAAAACATCTGTTCCTTACAATTATAAATTCTTAATTTTAGTATGAACGATTCCAGACTCTTATTTTGGAAGGAAACTGTCTATCGAAAGGTTTACAAAAGAACAGACAGAATCTGTAACTCTGTAAAATTGTGTATACAATTTGCTACATCCTGCAGACATTTTCCTTGGTGGGAAACATTTGGAGGGGCTTAAAACCGGTAACTAGGAGAAATCGAAGACAAACAGAAAGGCTCATTTTTCATTTAAGCTGTAATATGATAAAAAACATATCTGTAACACCAGAAAACAACTTTCACCAGTTTGGGAAATAAACAAGTGTTACTTTACTACTGAATCTGATTTGGAGGTAAGTATAATAAAATAAGTATTAATTTTATAAGAGATTTAAGTAAGTGTAATGACAATACAATCATGGGAACATACACGTAGTGTTTCCCAAAAATAACAACAGAGGGTGCAAGAGAGTTTAGTATGATGTTTTTACTTGCTTTTCTGATCCTTGAACTAAGTTATCAGGTAGCCAGAACCGTAACAAGGATGCAGAGACTATATTTGGATCATACATACACACACACACAAACACACACACAGAAATACAGTATTAATGTAGTCTTACACAAAGACTATTGTGATTAAACAGCACAAATACCTAAAATGTGTTTTTAAGGTAACAGAATTCCTTTTACTTACCTGAAAAGTAATTTACCTATTAAGTAATTTTTAGAATACAGGTGTAACTTTAAAGGTTTTTCAGTATCTACTGTAAACTAGCCAGTAAAACAATCTAGATGTCTTTACTGAATATATTTTGAATATATGCACGAATTATATGCAATAAAAAACATATCTGTGTTACTATATATTTATAACATTGTACAACATTTATCTATAGGAACAATTCATCGATTACTCATGACCATAAGTTTGAAATTTATGTAACATTCATTTCTCATTAATTGGTAAGCAACTTTAATGGGTTCATAATATGCACAATTAAAATAAATTGCTCATTTGCAAAAATATGCTGATAGTTTAAATTATAAAGAAAATGCATAACATTGCATAATAATAATTTCTAACATGTGTGTCTAACTTATTAAGCCATTATGTATAACCGTAACTTTCTAAACAGAGTGAATGGGATATCAGACTCCCTTTTAGCTTTAACTGAGGTGATGTTTAGCAAAGAACATTTTTGGTCCTGTCTGTGTACTATTGATATTTTTCTAAAGGGAGGTTTACAATAGATTTCTGTAGTATTTTTCTATACACAAACATCTAGTTCATGAAGAGAGAACCAGAGATTTTTTAACTAGGTTAAGTTAAAAACAGCCAGAATAACACTATAAATAATCACACCTACTCAAATGTGTCTTCAGTTTACATCTGAAAATATCAAGTTTAGAGTATCACATCACACTAGGTATGAATTCTGAAAAGTATTACATAATAAAGAAAAGGTTTTAACTTTGAATCATTAGAGAACTGTCAACATACACAGTCAGGTATTTAATAGTTAGATGGGGGGAAATGACTTGGTTCAAACTAAGATAAAAACAAAGCTATGAGTTTAGCGTAAAGTCCTGAAAGCCTTTGAGTCTTTTAAAGGAATTAGTATATACCAATGAAGTGTTTTAGTTAAATTTAAAATACTTTGAAAAAAATGATTTTTAAAAATCTGTAAATAAAATATATTCACACACACAGTGAAAGCAAAGCATAATGACTCAGCATTATCTATAAATATGGTAGTCACCTCATTTGAGAAATCAGCCTACCCATTAGCCACCCCAAGCTAATTATTTATGCTAAAAATACAGGACCACTCATTAGATCTAAAAGCCAGTGCTAGAGTCAATACAGAAAACTCATGAATTTTATAATTTCCTATTTTCTTTGTTAAATATGGCTATTTAAAGATTTAATAGCCATATTTAGTCCTCTAAATATTTTAAAATCATTGTGGTAGATAATGAAAACTCAGTTGTAAAACAGAAATTCATAAGTTTTAAGCACATTTTCAAGTAGCCCATTTTAATTTGAGAAAATAACGTTTTGTTATTTCTCTTAAACCTTTAATATAATTCTTATAAAAAAAAAAGAAAGAAAGAAAGCAGCATGACATCAGCAAGATGGCAGAGTTTGAAATTCCAAGTACATGTTCTCCTACAAAAACACTGGAAAACAAAAGGTACTTTTCAGGACTTTGTAAAAGCTGTGACAAATGGTCAAAAATTTACCCAAACCAAATGAACACTGAATCAAGAAAAAAGATAACTTAAAAATTTTGTGGTGTTTACACTTGCCCTTGCCCCACCCCCTCCCTGGCACAGTAGCAGTCTGGAAGTGGGTAGCTACTTTCCCAGGGTGGGAGTCTGATACTTTGTTCTCAAAGGGAAGAGGGAACCATGTTTGCAAATTGTTGTGCACATATGTTCTAACTTGTGTAAGGGCTACCTGAAAGATGATACAAGATGCCTTTCTCTGTCAGGCTAACTTAGAAGAAGCTGCGGACATCAACAGAACACACAACAAGCCAAACTAAAAACCCAATATATAATCCATTCTCACATTGCTATAAAGCACTGCCTGAGACGGGGTAGTTAAGGAAAGAAGTTTAATTGAATCACAGTGCCACATGGCTGAGGAGGCCTCAGGAAACTTACAATCATGGCAAAAGGGGAAACAAAAATATCCTAATTGATATGACGGCACAAGGAGAAGCGCAGAGCAAAACAAGAAAAAAGCCCCTTATAAAACCATCAGATCTTGTGAGAACTCACTCACTATCACAAGAACAGCAGCATGGGCGTAACCACCCTCATGATTCAATTACCTCCCA